GACGTATCCAACAACATGGGGCAATGGTCCGAACATGGGGATTGATATGCAAATTGAATAAGGAAAGAGAATTTAGATTCAACATCCAAGGATACCAGGAATCTATCAAGCCTGGCTAGAGAGGGAGGGGATCTATGGTTAGACCAGGTGAACCTCCTACCACTGAGAGGGAGGTCAATGAGACGGATGGAATTGATGAGATTACAAAAGACCTCTATATCTCGGAGAGAGCTCGAACGTCCACTCCTTTCAGCTAGACTCATGATCATATTGAAATCACCAAAAACGACCCAGGTCAGGGAGTGGGAGTCCCTAATCTTCATGAGTTCCCACCAACACACCTCTCTATCTGCCGAGTCACACGGAGCATAGATAGAAGTGGCGACAAAAGACCAATTGGAGGGGAGATATGTGAGACTAGCAGTGACAAAGAAAATACCTATGGAAGAGGAGGAGCATGAAAAAATATCTTCATTCCAACCTAAAAGGACCCCCATCTAGAATCAGAAGCATCTAGAGATATCCAGGAGGAGATGATCCCCCCCCCCCAACTTTTTGAGGACGATAGGACTAGGCGAGGAGAGTTTGGATTAGGAGGAGATGATCCCCCCCCCCCAACTTTTTGAGGACGATAGGACTAGGCGAGGAGAGTTTGGATTCTTGCAGACCCAATAATTGCACTTTTGCAAACTGTAAGCATTCTCTCACTAATCTACGTTTAGCTGGGCTGTTTAACCCCCTAACATTCTATGAACCTATTCGCATGGCAAAAAATGAGAGGCAACTTAGAAGAAAGGCAGGGACCCTCAATTAGGATGATCCCCAATAATCTCCATATTCTGAATATCTCTCATAACACTGAGGTCTTGCCTGTGTTTGAGTCGACAAAACTCCAATTTGGAACATAGAGTGTGAATGTAGTGATCATGTATATGATAAATGCAATTAACCCACCAAACCTGGTAATAAAAATAAATGCTTAAACCTTAATATCAGTTCATATAATCTTGGGGACGCTTCTACAGGGACCCCGAAATAGGGGACCAGAAAGGGGGGGGGGGGGGGGGGCGAAGTGAGCTGTCCCCCTCGCGGATGGATGACGCACTGTTCTATTTGGGGTCCCCGGGGCATTAATCTAATCTTGGCAATCAAAATAAATTTACCATTGCCAATGATATGCATTGAAAATTGCAAAATTGCCATATTCTAAAACAGTTGGCCGGAGCTTCAGGGTGAAAGCCTCTATCATAGCCACCACAAAGTATACCAAGGCTATTCTCTATTTGCAAAATTGAGCACACGTATTATAAGCCTGAATTAGAAATTAGATATCAAAGAGAATTTGATAATTGACATGAAAAATATTATATTGAGTTCGGGTGAGAGAGAGAGAGAGAGAGGCCTGTAGGATTCCACACCATCTAATTTGCTTCATGTCAACTCCAAAGGACAAGTAATCAGGAGCATGAGAGTAACCACCTAAAATTCAGAAAATCAAAATGTAATAAAGAATTTAATATTTGTTTAAAACTTTGATTTGGAGGCTTGATTCACCTTGAAGGAGGATTCCCCCAGAAAAGAAGCTTTATTGTTCTAATGACAATCTTTGTGATTACACTAGAAAGTTTCAGAATTCTCTGTGATACGTGGAGAGATTACAATTTGAAGGGTAACTTGACGCATCGCGGAAGTTGTAACCATCTTCGAATCCACGAAGAACTTCAAATCCACGAAGAAAATACTAAAAAAAGAGAAATTTTATTAATAAAAAGTTATGCCTCTAGGGCTTACAAGACTCTTCTTAAATAAAAAAAGAAACAAGACTCCTACAAGAAATCTAATTCCTACAAGGACTCAAACTTTACCAAAAATAGTAAAGAAATTCCTAAAATACTAAAACTCCTAAAAAGACTCCTTATGATTAGGAAAGTCTACCGGTCAAATCTGAGATCAAACCGGATTTGTTTCCTAAACAAAACAGACTCCTAAAATATTACTAAAAATAGTAAAAACGAACAAAAATGCAAATATCTCTCAAACCGTAAGGAATTTGGCGAAACTAAAAACGCAAACCGAACCCAAAGGGATGGGTTTGGATGGCTCCGTCTCGTCGAGATAGTCGATTTTCATATATAATTCGTCAAATTCCGACGTACAGTTTGAAAGTTACGGCCGTTTCTTCGAAACAAGTTATTTTCTTCGACCAGGCCCACATTTGGACTTGCGACTGTCCCACTTTGACATAAACATATCTGTTGTGTGTTCTACATCATAACTCAGATATTATAATGATTGAGGTAATTTTGGAAATAGGTGTGATTTGGAAAGGACTACTTGTTTGGAAACCTTGAGAGCAAGAGCAATGGCAACACCGATGATGAAGAGAAAGAAAGGCAAGATGAAATCTGCAAGCGTGCAGCCGTTCCATGGTGAATGATCAAGCCTTTCATATGCACCTCCGGCATCATCCACCAATATCATTAACTGTATCACTCAATCAGAACCAAACATCAAAACCAAGAGACATAAACGACTTAGTAGTATAAAAGAATAGAATTATAACTACAACTATCATCATAACTTCGGAATTTTGGTAAAACCGCAAAATAGAAATGGATTGTGAAAATAATTTCACAGTAACCCATATTCGGATCCTACCAAACACTTAAAGTCAATTTCAGAAATAATAAAGACATCGCCGAGCATATTTAAATCCCTGAAAAGTTTTTCAACTTTAGGGAGTACGGTAAGAGTATCAAATTATAACGGGCAATAATATACAGCAATTATAACTTACCACTATAGTGAGCCCTCTAAAGGCATCAAGAGCTGCTACTCTCTTGCTCTTCTTATTAACTTCCAGTACTGGTGTCTCCTCCTCCTCCTTCTCAACAAACTCCCTATCTTCCTCTTTATTGACATCGACTTAGCCATTTTCGCCGTCTTCATCAACTTGAACATGATGTTCTCCTGCCGCTACAGTCTCTTTCTCCTCTTCCGTTGCACGGATTTCCACACAAACTTGAACCTGCATTTATATATGTTGCGCGCCGTGCGGAAGCGTGCTCGAGAACCAAACGAGTCGGTGAGTGATGAGAGAAGAAAACCAAACCAAATCAAGAGTGCAATTCACCAAAATACGACACAAATCAAACCAAACACAAGGATTTACGTGGTTCGGCAATTGCCTACGTCCACGGGGAGAGGATGGGGAGATTTTACTATATGGAGGAGAAATACAATGGGTTACAACTCACAAAATCACTCAAATATAACCCTAACCAAAGCTCTCAACTCCCTCACAATATCTCCCTCTCAAAGTGCTTAAAACAATGCTAATTCTTTCATTTTCTCTCCTTTAGAAACCCTAAAAAACGTGGTCCTATTTATAATAAAACACAATCCCAAACAAAGGAGAAAAACGTGGTCCTATTTATAATAAAACACAATCCCAAACAAAGGAGGATTCCCAAACAAAGGAGGATTCTAAAAACGAGTCTGCCACACCAGGGTGTGGCGCAGACCACACCCATGGCAGACAGGGCAGATTCTGCCACACTAGGGTGTGGCGCAGACCACACCCATGGCAGACAGGGCAGATTCTGCCACACCCATGGCAGACACCACACCAGGGTGTGGTGGAGTCTGTTTTGGGTTTTTCTTCATGTTTTTCACAATTTCTTTGCCGTTTTCACAATATGTAGATAGAGATTTTCGGAGTACGTTATGGTTTGTATTTGATTACTAACAACAAAATGGGAGAGAAAATGAGAGGCCGGCAAAGACACTACATTTTACAACTGTATTAGAATTTATTAACATAGCCTGAGAACAAAATCATGCATCTGTAGTTTCTTGTCCATAACCAAAAACTTCCACGGGTTTGTAAAAAATTGAACCACTTAAACCACGATTATGAGCGGGATACATTCAGCTCGTCCCAAAAATGTACATGCAGATCGAGTTTCCATAGACAGTACAAAATAGTTCGATAATTTCTCTCCACTTGCGCGCCACAAAGACCAAATAAGCCTGACAGCAAAGAAAGATTTGAACGCCAAGTATAAACTAATTTGGCCCCTGAGTACTGCAACCTTTTAACCTACACCCCCCCCACCCCACTCCTCTCGTTATCTTTAAAAGACTAGTCGGCTGAACATCTTGAATTTTGTCATTGTTTAAACTAGTTTGCGGTCCGTGCAAAGCACCTATTTTTTTTTTGCTACAGTAATCCCACTTTCTAATACGGCATGGTTTGAATTTTCGGGAGTGCTACAGTATCCCACTCTGCTACAGTACCTTTTAAATGCTACAGTATGCCCGTGTGCTACAGTAATGTTTTAATTAATTATTAGCTACAATAAGACTGCTACAGCAAATGTTACTGTATCATTTACTGTAGCATGAACAGTGAATCTCTGATCCTCCTATTTGTGTAAAGGAGTAGATACAAAGTGTTCAATGAAACAACAACCTTTAATAAAGAAGTAAATATTTATTAAAATGGAAAATGAAAAGTTGCATGCATAAATAGCTGCAACTTGTGATAAGTTTGCAACCAGTGACGACTACTTTAGTATAATAATAATATAATTATAAATATTGATATAGATTGATTCAAGGGTTAGAAAAGAGTGGCGATAGGACCGGCCCGGCCGGGTAACTTTTGTCATTCCAACCTCTCCCCGGTTTGAAAATTGACCGTGTTAACTCGAATGGTAGAAAAATCTAATGTGAGAGTATGTGCAGAAAAATTTGTCAAATAAGTAGACCTGCAGGGTAAAATCTGAAGATAGGTTAGATTTTGGGGTGTAATAAACAAAAAACGCAGGAAAGCAAAGATTAAAATTTTATTTATTTTATAAGGGTATATTTGCAAAACAAATACAATCTCCCACGGTTACGGAATATCCTCCTCCGTCACTTTGATACTCTCTCCCTACGATAACTCTAAACGGCAGTTACTGAAAGACCGGTACTCTCTCTCTCTCTCTCATCGCTCTTGTTTCTAATTTTCTCCTCGATTTTATTTCATAAATCATATTTAGATCAATATTAACAGTAATTGAGTTCATCAAGATTTTGTTTTTGGATCCAATCTTTTCAATTTCCCTTTTTCCCCTTATCAATTCCTCACCTTTCCCATTACTTGACTAGATCGTAAGGGTTTAGGGTTTATCGACTAGGGGTTCGTGAAAATTCTTGTCTAATAACCCAATTCATCAAATTTTATATCTAGGGTTTCTCCAGTTTGAGAATTCCCTGTGAAAAATTCCATTTTTCTGCAGATTCTTCAGGACTTTTTTAGGGCTTAATGCAAAATGGGTCATACTCACCACGGAAAAGGGAAACCCAAGATCTTCGCAAGAACAAATGAGATCATTAGGGGTCTCAATGAGAAGGAGGGGAAAGATGGGACGAATTTGGGCTGTGAGAGTAATTTGGAGGATTATTTAGAGCGTGATGACTTGGGTCAAGAAATTGATGTTGTTGGAATCGGGCAAGATGGTGGTGAATTTGTCGGGATACAGAAAAATGAGGACCGTGAAGCGATGGATGAGCAATCAAGTTCTTTTGGAAACACATTCTCAGGCTCAGAGGATGAGGTGAGAAGCTCAAGCGATGTGGAGGCGGATTCACAGTTTGCAAATACTCCCACATCGCAATTTGGACAAGCACAATTTGCGCCTGAAGAGAACAGGGCGCAGTTTGTTTCGGGTGAATTTGGTAGAATTTGCAAGTATGTGGTTATTTGTGCATCTGTATGACTTTTTTTCGTCTTTATATATTACCTTATTGCTAGCTAGAAATGTTGTTGATTCTGATAGTGCGAATTATTGTGACTTCTAACAATACCGTTAGATTAAGTGTGTTTTCATTTTGTTTCTTTGTTTAATTCTATCTTGGCTATGTAAAAATGATGAGATAGGAATAACTATTTTCAACATGTAACTTACAAGTTTGGTTTATGTGTTGGAATCGACAACAATGTGAAGCCGGGAAGGAAACAAATTGTGTGGTTATATTAGACAGGGAACCTGGTATTGTTACAGGAACTTTAATTATCATAATATGTGAACAAGAAAACAATGTTGATCTCACATAAATTATTAGTTTAATGTATGTACCTATGTATAGATGCATACATATCATAAATGCATGCATATATCTTACCTTTTACAAATTTCTCGTGTCTTGTACCCGCTCCTATACTCATGTCCATGAACATAGGTGGTTTAGTGTGCTGAGATTTTGGATGCTCGATCTATATGAAGTATATTAAGTTTCATGGACACGGCTACGGGTACTGGTTTGGGTGTGGCACGGGTACAGGACACGGCAAGTTTTTAAGAGGTAGGGTATGGGGATACGACCATAAACATATCTTGAAGTTAATAATTTATATAAGATCAATAATTTTTTTTTCATTTACATGTTATGAGAACTAAAATTTCCCTGACATTTTATGTTTCTTTTATTATGTACTATGAATTTGAAAATGACTCGTTTTTTAAGTTAATAATTTATATTACATCAATAATATTTTTTTCATTTACATATTATGAGAACTAAAATTTCCGCAACATTTTATGTCTCTTTTATTATGTGCTATGAATTTGAAAATGACTCGTTTTTGAACAAGATATCCAAACTTTAAAATCATAGTTCTAGATTGGGTATGGACTGAAACGAATCCGTCCAACAAGTTTCATGAATTGAACATGAAGTGTAGGATAAACATCCAAGAAGTGTATGACAAGTGTTTTATTTTAAAACATTTATTATATAACCGAGTACATGTTTGAATAAAAGTATGCGTATATCCAAGGAGTGTCCAAGGACTGTTGGCCTCTGATACGGGCATGATACACTGTAGAATGGTCCAAGGAGTGTCAGGTACGGGTCGGTGCCTGATACATGCCAGGTGTGATAGAAGTACCCAGGTAACGTAGGGAGTATACTATTTAATTATTCATCTCCGGCATTGAGTTTTTTATTGCACGATATGATCCAGATGTTGCCTCCATCTTTTGACATTTTTATATGGTGTTGCTTTCCAATTTCCATTGCTCCCTATATCTCACACACACAAGCATGGGCACTCCAGGTGGGAGGGAGGGTCATTATTTTGTAAAAGATTGACGAAGCACCGATCTTTCATTATCTATGTTAGTAAACGTCGTGCAAGTTGATCAAAGAATCCTTTTAAGTTTCTACTTTTGAAGCTGTTCTTGTTTTCTTTTTTGTCAATCATCGTTGCATACTTTTGAACTTGTTGCTTGTTACTGTTGCCTTCTTGGTTTATTCGAGTAAATAATCACCAGTTGATTATTTTACATGCTCTAATTATTTTTCGACTCTATTTCAGGAAGAGAAAGGTCACTGCTCATTGGAGAAAGTTTATTGGCCCTCTAATGTGGAGGTGTCAGTGGCTAGAACTGCAGATGAATGAATTAAGATCACAAGCCTTATTGTATGACAAGGAACTAGCAAAATATGAGGGTGAGAAGCAGCTGCAGTCAAAAATGATAGAATTAGATTATTCTGTTTCCAGATTGGTACCTACCTCTTGTCAAAGGCACAGAAAACGAGTCATGGAGAGGGTTAAAAGAAAGAGAATTGAAGATACAACTAATATATCATCATACATGTCAAACCACAACCTGTTCTCTTATTATGGTACCTGCAACATTCATTGCAGAATTTTGTTCTTTATGAGTAAAACTTATTTTTGACATGCTTTTGCAATTTCCTGCAGAAAACAAGAAGAGACCAGAAACTGATTGCCAATCAATCGATAATGATTGTGATGATCGAGGTATGGTTGTTTCCTTTGTAATCTAGTCAAAATATCAAATATGAATTCATGGCCATCAGTCACATCTAATCTTTATGGATTTAGTAATAGTTATCAGTGTATTATGTTGGACATGGTGCTAAAGATAAAAAAAAAGAAGAGAATTTAGTTTAGGAATAATTATCATCTTTGTTTGGTGTATATCACCAACGCATACAAGTGACCAATCTATTGAAATTCTCCTAAATACTGTATGTGAAAAGGACACAAAGCATGTGGATCTTTAATACGTCAACAGAGTTATTTCCTAATATGGTTAGAATATATAAACTAATAACTAGTCATAGATTTCTGAGGTCTTATCACCTTATAAAATGAACCTTAATGTTTGAATTGCACATTTTATGATTATAATAAACCAAAAAAATCAATTTGTTTTCAGTTACAGATTTCTCATGTCTATAATTGTAAATGTGAAAATCTGTATTAGCATACACTAAAACCGCTTCTCCTGGGTATTCATTAATATGATGACTTATTACCATGAAGTGAAAACTGCTTCCTCTGTAATGATAACCTTGTTGGTTTCCTACTTTTTGTTATCAATTCCAAGCAGTTGATGAGGTCAAGAAATGCAATGGAGAGTATAAATCATCTTTACTTGGCCTTAAGGATGGTGATGACTTTTTAGAGGAAATCATTTTCAACCTTGACGGTGTTCAATCCAAGGTTCTTAGTCTGAAGCCTCAACTAAGCCTGGTGATGAGCAGAATTGCGCAGATAGAACCGCGTGTTAGCTATGCTAGAAGCCTTAGTTGCTCTCCTGGCAATAATGGAGATATGCCATCAGACGATACTTTAGAGTTGAAAGTGCCTGGAACCGCAGTTTCCAACTATGCTAATGCCACTGATTACAAAGATGTAAGATTAATTGAACTACCTAGTTAGGCAAGTGCATTTTTTTTGGAGTGATTCCCTTTGATTAGATTTTTGAAATTTATATGCTAACATGACGAAGAGCATTTTTACCCATTTCCACACCATATTAGAAATTTGGTTTTTTCAACTATCTACCACTCAAATCTTTTGTATTTCTAGAATTACCCCTCAAATCGTTTGTATTTCTAGAATATCCTGCAAATATTCATATTTACCAAATCACCCTCAAAAACATTCCAAACTCATTAGTTTACCCATGAAATATTTATATTAGAAATTTTGTTTGGTTCTAACAGCACAAGGTAGGTAGGTGTGGAGAGGTTAACTAACAATGTCAGAGGTAATTTAGTCATATTACATTAAATTTTCAGAATTTGGAGAAATATGCTAAATATATATTCTCTAACAGGAAAT